AAGGCACCAGAACCCTTGCTACTATCCGGAAACACAGCAAAGAACTGGGAGAGATTCAAGCAGAAGTTTGAGCTGTTCTTGGAGGCGACATCACCAGCGAAGGAACCCAGGGCTCCAGCTGTCAAGACCGCACTCCTGCTGAGCTTTGCGGAAGACGAAGCACTCGAGGTATTCAACAATTTCTATTTTTCTGAGAGTGAAAGCAAGCAATATTACGAGACGGTTGTGAAGAAGTTCGATGAATATTGCCAAGGGCAGCGAAATGAGGTTTTTGAGAGATATCTGTTCCTCATTAGGACACAAGCAGAAGGCGAACCCTTTGAGCATTTTCTACGTGACCTCAAGGGACAGGCACGCAGCTGCAACTTCTATTCCTTGACAGAATCTTTGATACGGGACCAGATAGTCTTCGGCACAAACAACGCTAAGCTGCGCGAAAAAATGTTCAAGGAGAAGGGCTTGACGCTCGACAAAGCAGGACAAATATGTCGAGCTGCGGAAGTATCCGCACAATGGAATGAAGCGTGGTCCCATGCATACAACCCGATAGACGTGGTTAAAAAATTGCAACAGCACCTTTGTGCCAAATGCAGTCGCTCTCACGCGTGTGCTAGGCGTCCAGCCTTTGGAAAATTCGCTTCGAGTGTAAAGGAAGAAATCACTTTGCTGGGCGCTGCACGAAACGTCAAGTAGACGAGGTTAACAAAGAAAGCGATGACTTCAGCGTTTTGGATGTGAAAATTTGCAACGTCAACAGCAGGGAAGATTGGACAGTCAAAGCGCAAGTTGCAGGTGAAAAGGTGGTGCTTAAGGTTGACACAGGCTCTCAGGCAAATCTAATGCCTTACTCTATCTACCGAAGGTGCAAGGGGGACCTGAAGCTTTACCCAAGCTGAGCCGTACTTCGGTCCTACAGCGGAGGTGTTATCAAACACGTCAGCGTGGCAACACTGCAAGTTGAGACGAATGATCGGTCCTGTAGCTTCCCCTTTTTCGTTGTGAAGAAGAGCAGCCCCGCTATTCTGGGATTAGCCGCAAGTGAAACTCTGGGCCTGGTGTCGCGCAACGTAAACATGGTCAGAAAAGATGGTACCAGTGACATTGTCAAAGAATTCCCGGATTTATTTCAGGGAACTGGCTGCTTTCATCAACAGTACCACATGGTTTTGAGCAAGGATTCAGCACCAGTAACAATGCCAGCGCGGCGCGTACCATTGGTACTGTGAGGACCACTACGAGATGAGCTCGACCGGATGGAAAGAGGCAGCATCATAGAGAAGGTCAACACGCCAACAGACTGGGTGAGCCCTCTAGTAATCGTAAGAAAGAAAAACCGAAAGCTGCGTTTGTGAGTGGATCCTAGGAACATCAATGAGTGTCTAAAGCAAGAACATTATCAAATGCCAAAGCGAGAAGATATTAAGGCTGAGTTAGCAGGGGCCAAATATTTCTCGCACCTTGATGCGAACTCCGGCTTTCACCAAATCCCTTTAGACAATGCAACGTCCAATATCTGCACGTTCAGCACACCGTTTGGGCGCTATCGTTTTCTCAGGCTCCCATTCGGTACAGCTTCCGCTCCAGAAGTTTTCCAGAAGGCGATGAGCGAAATCTTCGACCGCGCTGCAGGAGTGCACGTGTATATTGACGATGTCCTAATAAATTGTCACGGGGTCGTGACGTGGCCGAAGACAGGAGACTTCGTGTTGGGATTTATCTGTTTATTTGGGCGAACCTGTGCCCGGTAAACGGAAAGTCCAATTACAGCAGCAGTCTCGCACAGATAGCAGTCTCGGACTGATAGCGGCGAACAGAGCGTCGGCCTTCGATCAACAACTGACAAGCGGCGAAGCGCGTCGGCATTTATACTCTTGCCGTCGAATGTTCTAGCGTTATCGCTGGCGGTAGCGTAGGTTCCAGAACAATCTGTACCATTCATACAGTGGGCGTGATCTTATCGAAATGATCTACTACAGTCCGGAACCTTCTCGAAAACTTCAGGCGCGGTTTGCGCTGAGAATCGAGTGGTGTTTTGGGATGATAACAAAAACTTGGGAAATGGAACGTGGCAATATGGAACTACTAAAGATGAACACGATGCGCACCTCCGTCATGCTTTGCAATTAGCCAGACAGGCTGGTTTGACGTTCAATGCTGATAAATGCAAGTTCGGGCTGACCAAAATTCATTTCTTGGGTGACGTCATATCTAAAGAGGGAATAAAACCAAACCCTTTGTTGAGCGCATCACTGGGCGATTTACCTCACCCGGCCGACAAGGCAGCCGTACACCGGATGCTAGGCGTGGCTAATTTGGCAAATTCATACCCAACCTGGCCGATAAGACGAACCTGCTGCGCAGCCTTTTAAAGAAACACACCATTTTTGAATGGACAAAGAACCATGCGCGTAAGTGGGCAGTTATTTGCGAGCATTTTATCAAACCACCACTGCTCGCCATCTTTGACGCGTCTAGAGAAACTAAAATATCTGCAGATGCTTCGAAATGCGGGCTAGGAGCAGCTCTTCTACAGCATTAATGGTGACGCTTGGCGGCCAGTTGTTTATGCATTTCACGCTATGAGCGATGCAGAACAAAGATATTCTCAGACCGAAAAAGAGGCGATGGCAATTACCTACGGATGCGAAAAGTTTCACCAGTTTGTTTATGGACGCAAGATTGTGATTGAAACTGACCATCGTTCGTTGATTGCCATTGCTACAAAACCTATTGGTGACATGCCTCCATGACTTCAGCGTTCCTTTCTGCGTTTGTTCACCTATGACTTTGATCTTTACTTCGTGCCAGACAAGCAGCTGCTCCTGGCGGACATGCTGTCCAGGGCGTCACCAAGTGCCACAAGAGACGTTGGATTCAACGAGGACGTGGAAGTCCATGCAACGAGAATTGTGTCCGAGTTGGTAAGCAAAAAGACCATGGATCGCCTAGCAAAGGAAACTGCAGTTGATCCCGAGTTTCGAGCTGTTATCGACTACTAAAAGCTGAGCGCCATTTTTGCTAGATATGGCATCCCAGTAGAAGTTTGCAGCGATAATGGTCCTCAGTTCTCATCCTATGAATTTACACGTTTTGCCTCCAGATACGACTTCCAGCATGTGACATCCAGCCCCGGATTCCCTCAGTCCTACCGCCTCGCTGAGAAAGGCGTTCAAATTGTCAAACGAATCATGAAGAAGACTGCAGAAACAAAACAGGACTTCTGGCTTGGGCTGTTGAGCTATCGTTCGTCACCCCTCGAAGATGGTCGTTCCCCTGGTGAACTCCTCCAAGGCAGATGCCTACGCACGAGACTTCCAGACTTCAGCCACCACTCAAGCGTTCCCGTGACTAAGCACAAACAGTCCTATGATCGGGGCAGATGCTTGCCAGCGCTCAAGAAAGGCGAAGTTGTACGCGTCAAAGACAAGGCATGGACCAGAAAGGCGCAAGTGCTAAAACGAGTCGCACCGAGATCTTATGAGGTGGCCACGGAGGACGGCAGAAGATCGACTTAACCGGCGCCACCTACTGAGGACAAGTGAGCAGTATCGGGAAGACTTTGAAAGTGAGTCCTCATTGAGTGATGAACGTGATGGCCTCGACGAGCCAGGACGGGCTCGGCATGAGCACAGTGATGAACATCGAAGGCACGGTAACAGGTGATCCGAGCAGCGGCCCACACAAGTTTCAGTTTCTCAGCAAGGCGTACTTCCTCCCCTACGCAGGTCTGCTCGGGAGACACGACCACCGGATCGACTACGCTATGATAGTAACTTTAATCAAGTTACTTAAGTTGTTTTGTTTCCCCGCGGCGGGAAGATGTATCGATCGAGCAATGCTTGTAAGCCATGCGCACGCATGCACCACCATCAACGAAACTAATCTTAGATAATAACCACACGTGGTTATCATGCTGCATACTATATATACGCATTCATTGTTTGAATAAACTTCTTTTGTTACTGGCTTCCCCTCGTCACAGATCTGATACAGATACAGCAATTAGTATGTCTCTGACAATAAACTGTAATTCTGCCATTCGAACGGCAGAAAAAAAGTCCATTAGGTAAATCTCGTAGTTAATTTCAACTGTTTATCTCCTCAACTTCAATGGCAAACAGCCCATATAAGTCAAATCTCGTTTTTGAAGAGCACACATCATAGGGTCACATTTTCCAATGACTTAATATCAATGGAATTGTTTGCCAGAACTTTTCTTTAATAATATGAAAAAATCACTATGCTAGGTTGCATCATTTATTTACAAAAAACAAAAGTGCTGTGTTTAAAATCGGAATGCATTAAATAATAATCAAATGAATTGCATGATAACTGCACTACCTGATGCTTGCTACAGACATGCCACTTTCCCCTTGTTTTCATTTCGTGGTAAATACAACCAGATTAATTCTTACAGGATAGCAATTCTAATATGTTTGTCACGGTAGGTTCGGAAAAACTTCAAATGCAGTTATATTATGCCCAATAAACTGACACTTCCAGGTTGTTGCACCTAGCAGGGTAATCATAAGTTAAACGTACAACAGTGTTTGTATAAAGCTATGGGGACCATTATCAAGACCACCATAACTCCACAGCTGGTTTGAAGTGGCTACCATACTCGCTGTGAGAACACACACCCAGTTTGTTCCCTGGCCCGTTCTGCCTGTCTTAGACCTCTTCATGTTACTCCTATTTTTCCTGGCACGCTCACACATTCCTCACAAACATTTTTACGAGTTGTTAAACATGTAGCCTCAAGAAATGAGACGTTCCTGTATTGATCTATTCTGTTTCATCCCAATCATCATCACCCCCCATTCCCCTATCACAGTAATCAACCGTCGTAAGAAACCCTAGCAAACAAACCATATGGTCTTTCTGCCTCCCCATTTTCGAGTCACACTAGCAACGCATGCGAGTAACCCCGGGCATGGGTACTCGCGGGCGTCCTTAATGGGAACCAACAACCACATCTGAGCTCACTACTAAGCACTCGCCTCATCACTGTCGGGCAGGGGCTCTTCTACACTTTTGCAGGCCAATCCAGCCTCCAGCATAAACTCGTAGAGCGACACTCCATCGGGCAAGAAGAGGAGCACTTTGGCACGCGACTTCTTGGTGGGCCTCGTCTGAAATGAGAAGACATGTAATTCTGTGACGAGATGGAAGACTGAAATGAAAGGGGCAGAATAAATGACAAATAATAATGTCGCAAATCGCTTGCATTCAAAATAAATATGTCCGAACAGGGTAGCGCTAAAAAAATTCTGAAAAAGATAGACACTAATGTCCACTGAGGGGAAACACTGATTTTGCTGCTAGTGAAATACAACAACGCACAAGGACGCGAACACACCCAACACTGATTTTGCTGCTAGTGAAATACAACAACGCACAAGGACGCGAACACACCCATGTCGCCGCGTTTTGTGACTTTCTAGTGTATACTGTCTTTACCAGCAGCAATATTTCATACAGTAAGCAGTACTATCTAGTACCATCTAGGCCAAGAAGCAGTTCTCAACTAAAGAGGGAGAAACTATTAGTTTGGAATAACAGAAATACAGTAGGACTTGTTTTGTCTTGTGCTGACCGATCAGTTAATGGAGAAAATTAAGTGAACGGCTGCAGTTTCTGGGTTTTGTGCTGGAAGCCAAGCACTTGTGCATCAGTGTAATACCCAAACATACAAATAATAATAATAATAATAATAATAATAATAATAATAATAATAATAATAAAGTGATTGTGGCCGAGTAACACCTTTTGCAGCTCGCACAGCAGATTGAGGTTCACACACACACAAAAAAAGACAGGTTTGTAGCTTTGAGCTATGAACTGGTTGATGACAAATTTTCCCTTTGCTGAACTCAAGGTGGTACTGCCATCAGTCAGCTTTTTTTTTTTTTTTAATCCTTCTTCTGGCATACAACACATTTTTATGTAGGCTGCTTGCTAGCTGCTTTCATTTCAGTTTCTATGAGGACTGCTTTTCAAGGCCACCTTTACTCGCACAGTAATAAACATTCAACTTAATAAAGCAAAGAAGCAAAAAAAATACGGGCTGCCGCCGCAAACACAAGTGACTTTTAGTAACACCCTTCGAGACTTGCCCCCACCTTTAGTTTTTACTTTTGTAAATTATTTAGGACAGGTACAAATGAAAATATGAAACAAGAAAGCCAGAAACAAATAAAATAAGTATAGTGCCACGGCTTCACGAATACTTGACAAACCCCGGACTGTTCATCGTTGTACCTCGAACCGACTATCGGCTGTACTAAAATTTCATATTAGTACATTCTTGTGCTTTGCAATCTGCCCCCTACTGCCTTCGCTCATCAAACTGGTTTAGCACTTTTCATTGCACCTCTCCTGCTTGCACCTTTGTGCCAGCTGTACAAAATAAACGAAATGAAGAAAAGGAGTGATCGGTCACCCCCCCTTCTTTTGCTTTTGTATCACAGAGTTACAACAGTTCCCCACTACAATAACAGATCCCACATTTCCTTTCACTTCCAGTCAAATATTTCCCTGAAGTGTCTCAGGCTCGACAAAGCCACTAAGTAGTCCCGACAGCAAGGAGACCAGGCCGCACCTTCACAACCATGGAACAGCTTTGTTCCACCATCATGTAGTGCACCGTGTCCAAAACTTTCAGTGGCCAGCCCCCGGTGGTAGAGAACTGCGAAGAAAAACATCATACAGCAGGACTCATTAGTAAACTCCTCCATAAATCATTCTTTGATTACCGAGCTTCCGATTTACCAAGTCCACGAGAGAAACTTGCTTGTTGGGTCTTATTCAACATGGAAACGTAAAAGACCAAACCACGAGTACAGGGGACAACATCGACTTCTATGTGACAAAATCGATAGTGCAAGGATGTTCTCTAATGTCACGTCAGACAATGATCGTGAAAATTGTCTGCAGATGACAGATTTTATGTCAAATTATGTTGACTCATCTCATTAATCATATAGAAACCAGATGCACATTTGCAGTAAGTACCAGGGACTTTGTTAAGTCAAAACTACACTTTGTTAAATGAAAAGAACACAGGTTTCAATGAAGCTAATTTTGGGAAACTAATGTAGCTCTTTAGGTCACAGATTCCTTCAACTGGAGCTCACTTTATCAAGGTTTGACTGAACCAACAACGGCAATTGCCCCTCTAGTGGGATCAATCATATTACTGGATCAGATACACACACACATGCAAAAAAATAGAGAGATAGAGATAAAGAGAGAAAAAGAAAACCATAAGAAGAAAGATTGCTTTAAACTCACCGGCCTCAACCCATAGAACTCCACTTCCAGGCACAGCACAGGCACATCCTCAAACATAAGGTCAGTGAAAATGCCATCGGGGCTCACGTACTCAGATGTGCCGTAGTCAATGAACCGAACCTAAAAACAAATGTAGGTGACAAAAAAGAGCGTGACATTTTTACATGGCAGAGAGACCATAACAGTGACAACATGTGTGTCGGCTATAAATGCTAAAAACAAGCACATATACCACCATACATGGCCAGCATTTTATGAGTCACTTATCAATATTGTATACCGCATTTACTCGCGTAATGAACGCACTCGCATAATAAACACCCCTCCCCCCCAAACTTCAGCTGTCAAAATTTGGATTCCCCCCCCCCCCCCCCCGCATAATAAACGTGCCCCAACATTCATCCACTGCAGCCCCGCTAACCAACACACTACCCGTTGGATCTCTTCAACAACAACAACAACAACAACAAAAAGGGGCATTTGAATAGAGGTCTTGTATTAATTGTTGAAGAAATATTATGCAGGTTAGCAAAGTCGCGATAAATATGCTAATTTTCCTTATATGTCATATATACTATACGAATTAGAACCAAAATTGTTCAACCAATATCAATATTCCCTTTGAATTCGCTTCAAACCTAAAGTTCACTATTCACACAAGCTTATATAGAATACTTAGAGCATGCTACAAAATCCCATAACTCTCTGGTCATACTTGACCACTTCAAAAACTTTGCGCAGCAATAGATTCGTGAGGCAATAGACTGTCACCGAGATCATTTGATGCTCCTTCAACTCCAAACAAGCAATTCATAGCCCTACTAGGAGAGTTCGTAGCACATTTTCACACTTATTACTCAAACTCAATGACTAAAATGTCAGTGGTGAATAAGAGAACAAACCTCTATGCCTTTCTCCCCCGTGTTCAGGATGACTGCCCGATAGAACAGCTTGTCCAGCGAGTAGCGCGCAATGCAGGCCTGCCCAATGCGTAGAGTGCGATGCAGTGGCTTCGGTCGATCGCAGTACGCCTCCTTCAGTTTCTCTTTCATAACCTTGTAGGTCTCACGGTCTTCTGTAAATGGGGAAGGAGGGGCAGAGTAAACGCACAGGCATTTCATTGGTAGAAGAGGCCACGGTGCAAGAATACTTCAGGTGAGCGAACGCCGTGAAGAGAGCGCTTGGCGAAGAGGGACCAATTATGTTCTCGTTTGCAGCATTCTGATAAGATGGCTCGCCAAACTGAGGACCGTGGCGGGCTGCAGGCGAATTACGCAAAGCACATCTGGAACGCGTGTGATGATTTCTAAATCTGAGAAAACTGGATTATCACGCGATATCAACCGCGCGACACGCATTGAGCGGCGCCGCGAAAGAGGGCGTGATGAGGGAGGAGATTGACGGCGCGGCAAGGGTGTTGTGACGACGGTAAAAGAGCGCCACTACTTTCCTACGTCACTAGGCTTTCCTACAACAATGAAAGGGAGGGAAGTCCACGAGAGTTGAAGATTGGGCGAGTTGGTTCGTCGTACTTGAACTGGTATGGCGCATTATGGGGAAGAAGAAACGGCTGAGCAGACCGACACAAGAGGACAGAGCGCTCTGTCCTCTTGTGTCGGTCTGTTCAGCCGTTTCTTCTTCCCCATAATGCGCTATACCAGTTCAAGAAAGGGAGGGAAGCCTGCGCATAAACCGGGGCGAAGTTTGTAGCGCCATATCTCGGGCTTTTTGTAATGCAAAACATTATCAGACAGCGGATAGTCCCGGCGTTCACTCACCTAAAGTATTCTTGCACCGTGGAAGAGGCTAACCCCTTCAGGCGCCGTGTATACACTCGTATCATTCAATTTCGATGGTGCATCATACACAGTGTTACTTTAAATGGCTCGAAACGCATTTTGCACATTCTTGGAGGCCTCCCGAGTGGACAATTAATGCTCGTTTAACGTCACCGTGCTGCACATTGCTGCAGAAAATTTCAGAACCGACGTCGAGAGCATTTTTTTTTTTTTTGCTAGAAACCGGTACAGTCAAAAAGCAAACTGGGCATGCATTTTGGGCCTAATATTTGGCTCTTTTTATGCTACAACTGAAGCTTACAGACTATATAACTAAATGTTTAATTACATGCTAATTAACATTTATTACTGAAAGCCAGACAAAACAGCACATTCCTTCATTTTCTTTCCATAAGTATAATACTGTGTGCCTTGGAATCGTGTCATGAGAATTGAACGCACTTCCACACAGTGCATCATTATTCGTGCCAGAAGAGGCTAAATATCAAAGTTGTGCACCAAAGGAGATTGGCCAAAAACAGCTTGTGGAAGAGCATAAGCTTGCAAAAAACAATTGATAGTATCTGCACTTAGGAGGAAAGAAAAATTAATTCAACTGAAGTTTTATGTTCAGTAACACTGAGAGTTGGAAAGTTGGCGTAGTTTCACGATTAAAAGGGTGCAAGAACACCCAAGAGCCAACGATGGGCGGAAGTTCTACAAAGAGCACAGCACAGTCGCCGAACATGATGAGACATTAGACCACCAGATAAATTTCGAAGCGATGGCCATCCTCGAAAGCGAGCCGAACTGGAGGAGGAAGTTGTTACTCATGTCGTGGCACATACAGAGAACAGCCCATAACATAAACTGCTCTCTCAGAACTCTTCCCCCAGTGTACACACACGGACTGCGCTCCACGGCAAAACGAGAGAGAGAGGGGGAGTCATTAGCCACCCCTCGAGTGCTTTGAAGACGCTGCTGCTACGTAGCCTACTCAGTCACCCCTTAGAAAGGAACCAAGTCGATTCCAAAACGTCGGGTTTCTTCAAATTTTTTGGTTGGAGTCTATATCATCTCCCAACCCTAAAACGTAGGCAGAACGCATGCAGCCTGCAAGCAAAGTAACGCATTTTTAAGCCAGTTGGAAGGAGACAGCGGAGAGGCGAACACTCGAGTAATGAGTTTTCTCCTAACATTCACCAGCAGCGCCTGGAACTGCAGCGCCCTCCACGGTGTGGGTCTCCTTTATGGTTACAACAGTAGCTTGTAATCAGAGCACAACAGGTACAAAAGCATGGTTTGCCTGCCAATTCCTCCTTAAGGTACAGAGGCAGGTGTTGCAGGCAACTATGCCTTATAATACAAAGCACCCATTTCCTGCTGGGCTGCCAAGTGGCAGCGCTTTTCTCTTGCCAATTCTGATGTTTTGCAAGATACTAGGCTTGACAGTGACATCTGCTTCCTGAACAATTGCTTGCAAGATAAATGAAGGCTCATCACACCTACAGCTACCGCCTCTACCACTACTCATGCCCGTTACCCGACACACAGCGATAAGAAAAACACCATGTTGGGCACAAATGCACAAACAATATCCTAGTCCCAACTTTCAATTTTTGTGGAATGGTGTCTAGAACCTCCAAAACAACTCAAAGTGTTCTATATCACACACTTTACAAAAACAAGGTTTGTAATGCTTTTACAGATGCTATTTACATACCGTAGTTGAGTATCTGCACATAGACCACTGCATCTTCGTCAATGTGGGATGGCATAACCATCAGCTGTTTTTCCTTGGGGAAGGATCTACGCTGCCACTGGAACTGTGGCTGATCATCGTGGATCACCATAAAATCTGTTTCCTCCTGTGTATCGTCGGTTGTGCATGAAGATGGAGACGAATCTGTTACGCTTTTATCGTCTCCTGCATCCTTGCCCTTTTCAAGGTGTGCAGCCTCCACCGCTGCACCATCCAACTGCGTAGCAACTGCTTCAGTGTTGCATGATGATGGAGAACTGACAGCCAATTCATCAGAGCTTTTCGAAGCTGCTGCATCCGACTGTTCATTGCTTTCTTCAACTGCCGAAGCTGGTTTAGTGGATTCCCCTTCAACATTTGTAGAGGCCTTAGTGGTATTCTTTTCAGCACTTGTACAGGCCTTAGTGGATTTCTCTTCTACATTTGTTGAGGCTTTGAGAGAAACGTCTTCAACTTTCGTAGGGGGCGGGGTCGAATCAGACGCTCCGCTGCTCCCAGATGAAGCTTCAGAAACTGTCTCCCAGGAATGAGAAAGCTCATCAGGTACACTTTCCACTTTTATGAGCTGCTGTTCCGAGTCTTTACTCCGTGTAGACGTAATGTCTTCTGCGACAGTCTCAGACACCACAGGTTCTTTCTGTGCGTCAGCATCGCCATTTCCAGCGGTCTCCGCCTCACTTGAAGGAGCAGCTTCCATGTCACTGGCAGCCTTTAATTTGCTTGAAGGAGCGGCTCCTGCCGATTCTGCAGCCGGCTCTGTGTTCAAGCGACTTTTCTTCTTGGAAATCTTTTTAGATATGAAGCCATAGCCCATCTCTTTCAGTGCCTCCCTCACACTGTTGTACTCCTTGCGCATAGGCTCCAAGGCGCCAGCTTCGTGCACTTCCTCCATCATGATGTCGACAGGAAGAGAGCCACCCAGCTCCTCCCCAAGCTTCACCATGAAGTTCCTGTTAGGCCTGGACAGGAGGCAGGCAAATGCCTCTTCCGCAGTCTTGGACCAAGTCTTGCTGCCTCCCGCTGGAATCATGTCCGCCAGGTGGCACACATGCGCAAACGGCGGTGGCTGAGCCAGAGCCTCAGGCAGCGAGAAGCCTTCGTCCCTCGGCACGACGACCTGCCTGCCGCTGTCGACGAGAAACACTCGCAGTTGCTCCTGCTCCACGTCTAAGACCTTGGCACGCATCCAGTGTTGACCAGAGCCTTTAGTTGCACACCACTGGCCGACCTCCCAATCCTCCTTGATTTCTTTCTTGTCGTTGCAAGCACTATGAAGACTGGAAGAAAGAGCTTTGAAATCCTTCTCCTCCTCCGTAAGTCGCACGTAGAAGCGCTGTGGAGACTCTGGGTACGTCACGTGCACCGGCACGTAGTCCTTCTTCGGGCGTTCCCCCGCTGCGAGTTCCTTGGAAGGCTCGGCCATGTGCATCTCGAGAGCAGCCAGCAGAGCCATTGCTGGCCTTTGGGTCGTGGAACTGTGGGATGGCTGCCGTGGCTTGCGTGACCAAAGACAAGGAAGCATGTCTACGGGTGGAGGGGCTTGGCCTGACATCGTGGGGGCAGTCCGCTTCTTCCGCCTGCCACCCACCTTTGACTCGTCGTAAGTCTGAACAATGGAATGCTTCGGCCGGGCGATCAAATGCGCTTTCATGGTTGGCACGTCTTCCACAAGAGACCTGCACAGAGATAGGGCCTCAGATGCACTGCTGACATTTGTAACAAAACAGCACTTGATAACATTTGTAGAAAAAAAAAGACAAAGGAGAAAAAGACCAATTATACAATAATGTGAAACAAAATAACGTTAAAAATGCACATGCCACACAACTTGTAAGGTGTTTATAATATGAACACACAAACAGCATTTGAGAGCACTGCTGCAAAACACATCGGTGACATAAAGGCAGCTCAACATAGATGCGAACAGAGTGCGTAATGAAAGGGAAAAAAAAAAACGAAGGTTTGCCATTATGCACAGGTATTCATCTGTATGCCTTGTGCATGTGTTGTGGAGGTGGAAACGGAAACATCAAACATGAAGTTTCCTCCCATCTGCTTGACCCCCCACTATTTCAAGCATAATGTGATACATGACATGTGAAAATATGGCTTGTGCATAAGAATAAAAAAAAACTTGGAATACATATCAGTGCACAGTTGGATGAACCTTAGGATGGCCGTAGTATAAGAAAAATACCAAATAATAAAAATACTAATTGTTAAGGTATAACATCCCAAAACCACCACATGATCATGAGAAACACCGTTAGTGGGAGGATCCGGAAATTTCGACCACCTGGGGTTCTTTACCATGCACCTAAATCTAAGCACACAGGCCTCAAGCACTTCTGCCTCCATCGGAAATGCGGCCGCCGACCAAATAAGCATCGAATCCTTGCCTACAACAGCACTTGCAAGTCCAACGCAGAACTATGCTTTGACGTTTTTCTTAAAATTGAGATGACAAAAAAAACTGAAGCAAAATGAGCACGCAGCCCATTATCACCCACTACTTTCCTATGTCACAGTGCTAAGCAAAAGTCGCAATTCACTTTTATGCTGCTGCCGTTTTAAATGGCACATGTACAGCGAGCGCTCCACGGCTACCCTGAGAAATGGGTCCGAGGGAACTATTCATGAACGTGACCATGGACATGCAAATTTCATTTGTGGAAGCAATACATTCCAGCTATCCACCGATACGGCTTTTTACTTTTCCTTGGCACTCTACCGTATTCAAACAAATTTCAAGTGCCCTTGGAGTTATTAAAATTATCCAGGTATTAGTGTACACTCACACCTCATTATAGCAAAGTTGCATCTTACATGAAAATAAGTTCAACATAACTGACAATTCGTTAAAAAAGTTAATTTCCACCACTATAGCTATTGCAAGACTATCTTTAATTTACTTCATTATAACTAATATTTCGTTATATCCAGTTTTGTTATGTTGAGTTTTAGTGTCCTTGGAAATCGGCACAAGTCATCCATTCACCGTGCAACTACAAGCAACATTGAAAAAAAAAAAACGTAAACAAAATTGCTTACAGCGGTCCCGTGCTAGCTGCAAGGTTTTCTTTGACTAGTACAGCATTCACACACACGTCTGTGTCATCCTTGCCCGGAATGTAAAGTGACACTTTTGTGCGCTGAAATTCTTCGCTGTTTGCTGAAAGAGTAGAGGGGAAAAAAAATGCAATTGACGAATGGTTGCGCGACTGACTGCCAATCGCAAAGGATCAGGCGGAAGAGTGATGCTTACCGTGAACTTTCATCAGCAGATGTTTGCTCAAGGTCAGTTGTGACAGCCTTTTTATGACCTTCAAGAAAAAACATTATTTAGAACTCGACTCTTCCAAGACAACAGAATCTGAAGCGCTCCTCTATCAAGATTTGTGTGCCCAAACATGTTCTACACTGAATAGTTTCTTAGATACAGCGCACTGCTTTCTTTTTTTCTGGAAGTTGCCCATGGTGTACTGCAGCAACTCTATCTCACCATGTTACATGATTCATAATTTACTGTCACAAATTTATTATTGCCAACAACCAGCTTTGTTTTAACATAGAACTGCTATTCTAACTGCGGAAAGAAAAATACATTGAACAAAAACACACAGGAAGGCAAAGTGAAAAGAGTGGTTGAATAATCGCATAAAAAACTGCAAAATAGTACGTAAAAACCCGCGTATAGTTCGGGCCCGCGTATAGTTCGAGGTGTAACTCGGGGATAGCAAACGCGAGAAAAAACATTTTCACGCGAATATTGTTCGAGGAAAACAGAAAAAATGCATTTATTTACACACTTGCATGCGCACGCACGCGCGCGCACGATTAGTCGTCGTCTTCGTCTGACACACTGTCTTCCGAATCTCCCTTGTTCGAAATGTCCTCCCACAGCACCTCATCCTCCGTGCCATCAAGCGCGTTTGAGATGGAGCACTTCTTGAAGGCACGGCAAACGAGCGCCGCGGGAATGCGGGCCCACGCCTCGGCGATCCGCGAGCAGAGCAGAGCTGGCGAGGCCCGTTTCAGCCGTCCGGCAGGGGTCACTTCTGGCTCTCCGGACCTCATCCACTCCATATACAGGGGCCTGATGTGGTCCTTAATTGGTTTATTAAGGCACACATCAAGTGGCCGTAGCTGGGATGTCATCCCGCCCGGGATGACGACGAGCTCGGTGCGGGAGTCGCGTAGCAGTCGCTTCACGGAGTCCGCCAGGTGACACCGAAACGCGTCGAGCACAAGCATCGATGGGAGCCCCAGCAGTGCTCCGGGCCGTCGACACCACACAGACTTGATCCAGTCCAACACCAGTGACTCGTCCATCCACCCCTTGTCCTGGCAGCGGACGACAACATTTTTTGGGAACGTCTCCCCCTTCGGCAGCGTCTTTCGTTTAAACACCACGTAGGGTGGCAGCTTGCACCCGTCTGCCGTGCAGGACAGCATTACAGTTACCCGCATTTTCTCGTTTCCAGTTGATCGCACGGTAACTTGTCTGGAGCCTTTTTGATGCACCGTTAGAGCAGAGGGCATATCCAGGTACACGGGCGTCTGGTCAGCATTGCCGATCTGGCCCAGCTGAAAGGGGACTGCCTTTCGCAAAGAAATCATGTGCTTCTGAAAGGCGACAAGCAGCTGTTCGTAGCTTTCTGGCAGCTTCTGCGAGACCGACGTACGCCGACGTAGGGAGAACACAGCGCGGCGCAGGAAGCGAGACACCCAATGCTTGCTTGCCTTGAAGTCCGCAGGCAGAATGCCTTTGTCTCGAGCGATCTCCCTTGCCTTTGCCTGCAGCAGCTCGATGTGCACAGCGAGTTGTGCAGCTCGTTGCTCCAGAACAAAGTCCGTCAGTTCTCGTTCCACGTCTGGAAATGCTCCATTTTTCGGTCCCCAGAAACTTTTTCTCTTGCCGCAGCATGCAAAAAGGGCTTCCTTCTGCTTCCGCCAACCGCGAATGCTCCGCTCATTCACACCGAACTGCCGCTCCGCGGCACAGTTGTTGATGGTTTCGGCAGCAGAAATAACTTTCCTCTTAAAGGCAGCCGAGTACTGCCTGCGCGGTCCCGACATGGCTAAAAAATCTCGGAAGTAAAATCGTGGCCGTCGTGATATGCGCCAAGTGATTGCAATGGCCACTGTTGCTCGCCTGATGCACGCCTGTACCTGTAGGTCTCTAGGACTAACGCCGCTCACGCTACCACGCCACCTAACGTAGAAGTGCGCAGACACCTGATAATGATGATAGCACCAACCAATACCGAAACCAAAACTGAATTCGGGCCGAAACTTTTTTGGGATCCGCATATAGTACGGGGCTGAAATTCCGCACCCTAAATTTTAGAAAAAAACCCCGGGCTATACGCGGGTTTTTACGGTACTTCAAACATTATATATATATTGCATATCATAGACAGATTTTGTAAGAGAATTGCACAAAAGTGTAAATGGCTGCATTCAGCAAGCCAAATCATATGTAGAGACAGAGACTGCATGTGAGCACTAGTTTAAAATAAACCATTATAGAGTTTATAAGTAAGATTATGCAACACGATTACATGGTCCATAACCTCAATATTTGTGGTCTTGCTAACGATTAAGAAATTGCATTTCAGGTTGCTGTAGTACTCTCGCACTACCTTGACCTACCGTAGTTACTCGAATCTAACGCTCACCTTTTTTCCGGTTAAGCAAGTTCATAAATCACGTGCACGTTAGAATCGAGTACGAAAGAAAAATGAACACTGTCAGTCTAGTGCCATCGGCATTTTCAAAATGGCCACCCCCTACGTGCGCCGGCATGGCGCATCGGCCATTTCTACCTACCGTATTTACTCGATTCTACCGCGCCCTCGATTGTAACGCGCACCCAATTTCCACCGCGAAAAAAAACCCAAAAAAAACCGTAAGACATCGATTGCAACGCGCACCCATTTTTCTCGCTGGCCCGCACGATCACACCACACGAAAAAACGACTCCTTTCGGGAGCGTCTTCCATTTAAATATGAGGTACGGGCGAAGCTTGTGCCCATCTGACGTGTAACAGAGCATTTGCCGTCACTGTAGTTATACCGTGGACCGATGTCAGCACGCGAACTTGCTTCGCCCCGTTCTTCTCGACGGTTGTGGTGCCAGGCATGTCGAAGTAAAGAGGCGTCTGACCAGCATTGCCGATTTGCCTAAGCAGGTAGCCGTTGTTGCACCGCAAGTTTAGGACGAACCTCTGAAAACTAAAGCTTTTCATCGTACTCCACTGCACAACTTTTTGCATATGCATTTTCCCCTTCAAAGGGGAAAGCCTTTCCTCTTCATAAAGTTAGTTAGCCAGCACCTGCTCGCTTTGAACTGGCTCCGCATTAGACCTTTTTCTAAGACTAATTGCATAGCCCGCACTTGGAGCAGTTCTGTCGTCACGGGCCGCTGTGCCGCTCGCTGCTCAAGCACATACTCGCCGAGCAGCTCTTTATTTGCGGAAACCGACCTTGCTGTGGTCCACTGAAGCCTTTGCGTGAAGCTTTGCTGTCGACAATCTTCTGCTTTTGTTTCCGCCGGTCCCGCACGCACGTTTCGGGAACTCCGAACGACCGCGATGCGGCCCGATTTCCGTCCGTTTCTGCACACGCGATGACTTTTCTTTTAAAAGCGGCATCGTGGTGCAGTCGAGTTTTTGGAGTCGGCCCTTCCACGCCGTCGATGCTAATGCACTACTAGATGAACTCCTCAGCATACGTACGAAGTGCCGCTCATGGGAAACACATAGGCAGAAATGGCCGACGCACGTAGGGGGTGGCCATTTTGGATTTGCCGATGGCAATAGATTGACCGCAATTTTTTCGTTCGTACTCGATTCTAACGCGCATGCGACTTATGAACTCGCTTAACCGGAAAAAAGGTGCGCGTTAGATTCGAGTAATTACGGTATGTGTTTCCCGTGTGCGGCACTTCGTACGTGTACTGAGGAGTTCGTCATCTTGTAGTGCATTAGCATCGACGGCATGGAAGGGCCGACTCCAAAAACTCGAGTGCATCACGATGCCGCTTTTAAGTCATCGCGTGTGCAGAAACAGACGGAAATCATGCCACATCGCAGTCATTCAGAGTTCCTGAAACGTGCATGTGGGACTGGCGGAAACAAAAGCAGAAGACTGCCGACAGCAAAGCTTCACGCAAAAGCTTCAGTGGACCACAGCAGGGTCGGTTTCCGCAAATTGAAGAGCTGCTCGGCGAGTATGTGCTTGAGCAGCGCGCGGCACAGTGGCCTGTGACGACAGAACTGCTCCAAGTGCGGGCTATGCAATTAGCCTTAGAAAAAGGGCTAATGCGGAGCCAGTTTAAAGCGAGCAGGTGCTAGCTAACCAATTTTACGAAGACGAAAGGCTTTTCCCTCCGAAGGTGAATGGGCATACGTGAAAAGTTTTGCGGAGGAGTACGATGAAAAGCTTCACAGTTTTCAGAGGTTCGTCCTAAACTTGTGGCACAACAACGGCTACCTGCTTGGGCAAATCGGGAATGCCGATCAGACGCCTCTTTACTTCGACATGCTTGGCACCACAACCGTCGAGAAGAAGGAGGCGAAGCAAGTTAGCGTGCTGACATCGGTCCACGGTAAAACTACAGTGACGGCAATGCTCTGTTACACGTCAGATGGGCACAAGCTTACCCCGTACCTACCCCCGTACCGTACCATATTTAAATGAAAGACGCTCCCCGAAAGGAGTCGTTTTTCGAGAGGTGTGATCCTGCGGGCCAACGAGAAAAATGGGTGCGCGTTGCAATCGATGTCTTACTTTTTTTTTTTTTTTCGTCGTGGAAACTGGGTGCGCGTTACAATCGAGGGCGTGGTAGAATCGAGTAAATACAGTATTAAGACACAAAACTTCAAACACAATTTGGCAATTTGGTAACACTAATTGAAACATACAGGTGCCGACGGTACAATGCCAGCCCCAAACACAGCTAGCTCCTTGTGGAGATAAACAGAAATTATCTCTACCGTCAACGCATCACACAACCGGTGGCAATGCCGATGGGCAAAACCCTTTACTCGTTTAAGTTTAGCCATGTTATTGCAACGTAGGTGCGCAAAACCTGACTTTTACCTCCATCCGCACTTGCTTGCCGGGGCGCTAGAAGTTGATTTTTATCTTTATTTGTGCTGCTCTTGGCTTATTTATAACCAAGGTATTCTTGTTCTCCTTAATTATTGAGTTTACTCTGCCGAAGACAGCCACATGCAAAGATGCCGCGAGTTTGCCTGCACAACTCGTCAATGCAAGAAAAGTACAGCACATGTTTTACGAGTCCTGACTGCCGACCTCATGCAATGTGTGCACTTCAGGGAATACCAAGCTCTGAAATACCATTGAAAAATATGTACCTCTGAGTTATACCGACACTAAAATATTGTTTCTGAATTCTTTTATAATTTTTTCTAGACTTTTACACATTTCGTACACTCAAAAACTGTGATTAAGTAATTCGACTATCTGTGTAAGTTTTGGAAATATTCAACACTCAAAGGGTTGAGACACTGTAAAGGATGATCCCCGTTTCCCAGAGTGGCGAAGTAAATGACTCACCTCGTCAGTCCAACCATTAGAGAGAGGGCCCACGTCAGCGAGCGTCACCGGAATTGCTTGGATGGGAAGGTACATGAACTTGTCGGGAATGCGGCGGACCCATATGATGGGCACCCGCTCCTGGTTCCCATAGTCGACAAACAACACCTCCACATCGGTCTTCCTCACAAGACTGATTATTTTGCCTCGATACCACAAATGGTCGTGAGGAAACTTTGCCAAGCAAACCATACCTAGACGTCGAAAGAAGGTAAGGGAACAGACAAAACGTGAGGACTCTTACAAGGCCACGTAAACTCGCGCAACAGATACAAGGTGCTAGCCGCTGATGAAACGTTTTGATGAATGCATGATGCCTTTACTACAGAAAACGAGTCAGCACATGGCCTGCGCTCCACTTTAGGCTGACTTCACAAGCAGGGGCTAAGGAAAAGTTTCGCTACTACAGTAGGTGAATGGCAGACAATATAATTAGTACAAATTTAGGTGTGCAAGGAGCGAAGACGACGGTAATGGCTGTTTTAGAGAGTGGGTGTGAAGGGGTTTGCAAATTTCATCTCGTAGATTTCATTATTTACAGATAAGACGATGAAGAGTTTCAAAAATTCAAATCATATTTGCATTTTTTTCATTGCGGATATAAGTTGAATGCACACTTCACTAAGCTGAAACCACAGCTAGCTCTTTATTTTTCATTTTGTCATGAGCTTTCAAAGCAGTGGGGATGGTTCGAGAATCAGTGTTGGCCTGCAACTATAAACAGTAGGTCATGACCTCATTGGTGTAAATAAAGCTCAAATAGACGACAACAGCAATGCAAGAAAATCTGTACCCAGACTCAGCTCATATGCGCACCACCGTTGACTCTCATTAAACGGAACCTGAAAGGACATGTTTAACAGGAGTTCTGTTGGCTGAGAAAAGAAAGAGGCTGAAGAATGCGAAAACAAAACCAATCTTGTTGGAAGCACTTGTTCCATTTGCGCAGCAGTTCCATTTAACAGATTTTTTATTTACTAGAGTCTACTCTATAATGAACCACTACGGCCATTAGCATGTCAATTGTAAATAGTACACAGAGCCATGTATTTCAAAGAATAATATGAACACAAAGCAACGGTACACAAACATACACACAGTTGTGGCTGCTTTGATAAAACCACTGCTAGTCAACAATTTACACAGTTCATTTCTTGACAGGCATAGCGCCCAAACGCATGTCTTTCATGAAAAACGCCAGCCACACATAGCAACGAGCCTCAGGTAACCACAGGTAGCAAGCAACCAGCCTTGCCATGACAGCTCCGACACTGTACTCGACAAGTGATGCACACCTCAAAGTCATACAAACACCATAGAGCTAAAACATGCGCAATGCAGTCTTTCGCACAAAGTCACCTACAATGAACCAATCAATAAGAGCAGAGAAATGCACAGCGCTCACCGACTTGAGGCTCAAACAGTATGTCTAGCTCGGTGCTTTCACTGTTGCAGTAGTGCTGCAACTCTCCAAGCATTGTCTGCATGCCTTCCACAGAAGAGCCCAACTGTGAGATACAAAAAGAAGGAAAGTGTTACTTTGATGTGTATGTATGTACACACATAAGAAAACCTAAAGAGCATGAGGGGGGAGGGGATTTAAGGAGAAGAGAGGAGGGGCTCCAGGATATCACAAAGTGCCCACCAATCCAGACCAAGTCGGGATAGCATAAACTAAATCTGATAACGCCCACCTTCCCGAGCCCCCCCCTCGATTGCAGCAGAAATTTCTCGAACCACCAGGAACGAGTAAAGTTACAGAGACCTGTTGCACCCTTTAACCCTTCAAAGCGCCACCCATAAAAAACTGTAAATATGTCACATCAACACATTATTTCAAGGCACTCAGTATTTTGCTGCAAAAAAAAAATAAAATACAATATGTCAATTTATGCATTTAAGTTGCAAATAAATGTCTATTATGAAGTCATTCACGCCCTGTTTTGGCATAAATAAGATGTTATCTCAGACTTCGAGAAAAAAGGAAGTATACTTTGCACATCGCTCGAAGGAAAGTGACACGTCGAACGTGGCAGTACCTTCGGCAAAGGGATCGTACGCCACAGAACACTACAACATGAAGTAAAATGAAGACAAACTTATCATGCAGGACGTTTAGTACATCCAAAGATTGATATATCTTGCTCTTTCTCAGGTGCTAGTTGATACAAATAACAAAATCAAGTGGTGTACACAATTGTGTACATAGCACCTCGAAGGGTTAAGCACTTAACAACAAGAATGCTGGACACTAAGCAGGGAGGTATGCTATAAAAGAAATAAGCTACGTTAGCATGTGTCTCATGACTAGGCTTGGGGGAACATTCGGGCACTTTAAATATTTCAAATTCGCTTCAAAACGAATTGCTGAATTTCAATGTATTTGAAATGAACCAATACCCACACATAAACTGCATAAATATTCCTTTGGAGCTGTTTTCACTGCAATAAAGGACTGTTACACCATGAATACACTTTTCCAGGGGCAATCCATGCTGCCGCAAAGCCCCAGTTCAAGGTTAAATGAGCATATTACCCTCACACCGAGCAGTAATTTTTTATTGCAATAGAAATTATACGGGCACACTCGGCTGATTTTTGTCATTGCCATCACCGCCATGACCCGAATATGTTTATTATGTATGTATATGTATAATATAAAAGGCAAAAAATAATAATAATAGAAATTGATTTATATCAGCTAATAGTCATTACAGGCTATGTGCTCTTTGACGTCAAAGACCAGATGCTGGTGGCACCGAAGAGAAGGGGCACAGGCCTCTGCGCAAACAAAAACCCAGAGAACAGAAACTTTGCGCTGCACTTGTGAACTCTCCTTGCCACCAATTACAGCAACATTTGGCAGCGCCTTTCATAGCAGCGTCTGCTCTCTGAGAGATGTTTTTTTCACCAGGCAGAATAAGTGGTTTATGACCCGTTTAAAGAAGAAGAAGAAGAAGAAGAAAAGCAAGTCACTTGCATCAGGCACTAACCTCATTCACTTGCGTTCAGCACTAACTTGCATCAGTCACTTCCTCAGGCACTAACTATGCAAATAGGCACTACAAGTACCCCCATTTACTTGGAAGGCAGAACGCACTTACCTCTTGGACAAACATCTTTTGTGGACTGAGTATGCAACTGACAACGACGTTGACAACCTGGCCAGCACAGAGATCAGTGGGCGAATAATACTGACGACGAGTGGCTGCTTGAGGTTTCTCTGAAATAAACATAATGCAATCCTCATTGAGATCGCAAAATGACGACTATGCAACGCAGGCGAACACTCGTTTCAGGTGTGTTGAAGAGACCCTGCCACACTTTCTTAAGGACTGCACGGAATGTGCTTGCTATTGAAGGCATTAATAGAGTCTTTCCCAGCAATCAAAACGAACCTCTGTGACACTTTAAACCTACTAACGGTTAAAACGCTGTTGCGACAAACCCCCGATTAAGTCTCATAGAGCCTAATGCCTTCGCTGACTGCTTCAGCCCTAGTGGTTTGTCCTATGTCTATCAGTTAGTACGCATCCTACGTATTACGGTAACATTTTGCGCCACGAACATTCATTGCACCACTGAACTTGCCACCACCTTAATGTGCCGCAAAAAGCCTTCAGTCTTTTTTCCGGAAGTGCAGAAATCAATCGATCAATCATTCTGACCTTCACGCAATTATGGCGACGTTATCGTGCCTCATCATGGGGAAAGAATGTCGGTGAGACGGCAACTGCTAACCAACACGCCAGGTATGACTTACTGCCCACAACACTGACACGAAAAATTCATTGAAGCTTGCACTAAGTCGTGCAAGGCTCGGTCACAGCAAAGCAGTGAGCACCTAGATGGCCCGAGCTTTGAACCTCTCACCTCAGATTCCCACCCCTTCCTATGCTGTACTGCAGATCGCTATGCTTGCTCTTTCTCTGTCTGTTTTTCTCATTCTCTGCCTATTCCTATCTTTGTCTTTCCACGTCTCTCTCTACTTTTTTTCTCCCTATCTGTTGCTCTTTCAATCTCTTCCTCAACACTCATTTTGCCTCCTCCTTTCCCTGCTCCCCCTCCCTTCTCCTTCCGACCCCTTGCTATGCTTCACTATACCGTCGAGCCCACATATAATGGCCCCATTTAAAAAAAACTTTCAATTAACACGAACAATATCCGCGTGACCGTGAAAATATACATTGGTTCGATGGCACAAAATCGCACTTACAACGAACATCTCCAACACCGCTGATCGGTTACAGCGAACGGAGTCAGCGGTCTGCTGACTTCCCGGGAAACCGATTTCGACCACCGATCAGGCATCGGCGAGGTGCCCATACATTCTTATTGTTAAACACCGACCCTCCCTCTGCGACCCTCTAGTTGCCGCTCTCCCCGACCCATGGAGGAACGAAAGCTGTTTCTCTCCTCCATGCCCCGACTGCTTTTTGTTACGCACCCCTCCATCCTTTGTCCCCCCACTACTCTAAGCACCCCGCATAGCTACACGAGGCCCGCGTCTTCACACTGCCATTGATCTTTCGAAAAATGGTCGGCCATCTGCCCTGTTTTTGATCGCTGGTACTGTCGTTGGCGTCGTCGACCTAGAGTGACCAGACCATTTGCCAACATCGTCGGCCACCGACTGCATACGATAGTCTGCGTCTAGTGCATGCACGTACGCTACCCCACCGACTCCAATAATTTGCGATTAATTTCGGGTTTAGGACCTGTTCTCGCTCACTTCGCATTCAACTCAGCATGCTTACCGCGCGCGTGCAGAAGCACGAAAACGGCTGTTAATTTGTGTGGAACGAATAGCAAAATATCGAAGTTCGTGAGGCCACGCAAACCTGCCAGCGCAACAAAACAATTTTTTTGACCACAGCCGCCGATTCTTCGAACACCGCCGCGCGCACCGATCTAGGTGGCCGTGCCTTGACCTCTGTGCGCGCAGGAACTCTTTCAAGTTTTACTACATGCGAGTTTTGCGGACCTTCCAAGCAAGCTACCCAACCTGCCTCCTTCCCGTGTGTGTTGGTTTTCAAGGTCGCCCTCCCACCGCATCTTCTTCTGCTCTCCTCTCTTGATCACAACCCCTTTGCCCGTCTCCACCGCTCCGCAACGCCAGCCACGCTGACTTGAATTAGTTTCGTTTTCTGACTGGAAACAGACCCAGTACTATTCCACGTGTTCTGGCATGTGTGTCGCGTGAGCGCGTCTTGCTCGCTCTTGGTGTGCGTGTGTGGTCATGCTGGCAGACGGGAGGACTAGCACGCTTTTCCTGCCGCTCAATGAAACGTCAAAAGCGTGACCGCTTGGCTTGAGCGTAATCTGGGCTTTAGGTGCTTCATTGCGGAGTGCTTGCTCAAAGCTATTGACCACCTGGCAGCGAACTTGCCCTTTCGGGGGTCTCAGTATTCAGCTGTGGAGATGGTGAATATTTCGTGGGCGGCGGTGACAGCTACATGCGCGCGAAACTATTTTCGCGAGGCCGACTTTGTCAACGACAGGCCCGATGCAGAGCCTGAAGCTCCTGAACAGGACTACTGTGGCGGCAATTTGTGGCAGCGCGTTGTTGACTCTAACCTGGGATAGCGGGTGGGGCATCTGTTGCGATGGTTCAATTATGGCTGATGATGATGCTGACACTGCGGAACCGTGCACGGATTGGGGCATTGTGAAAGAAGTACATGGCGTGAGCAATTTGGAGGAATCGGATTGCGAGAACGACAAAACTTTGGAGCCAGTGCCTCATGCAGCTTATGACACGGGCCTCAGGGAAAGAGGCCCGTGGCATAAGCACCCTGCCGTTTTAAATGAACACATGAACTGGAGACCGCCCTTATCTTCTGCTCTTCGAAACATGTGCATCACGGACATTTTGGGGCAAAAAAAGTTTGTGTTTTCACTCTGAACTTTTTTTAAAAGCTGTTTTTCATTTACTACGAACTTCGGGATACAGCGAACGGATGCCGCGTCAGGCTCATGTTCGTTATAAGCGGGCTCGACTATACAAGGCTACAATAATGTGCTCTGATACTACAATAGTGTGCACAATAGTGTGCACCTGGATAGTAGCGTGCTTACGATGCTCGCCTTTGGATCCCGACGAGTACGCAGGTTCAAACATCGCCTTGCCAAAAATGTTTATTTCTTTTTTTTTTTGCCAAGGATATCTGTATATCTAAACTTGTTCTCCCACCCATCAAGGCTATCTATCGTATCTCACGCTGGACCACCAGGTAGGTGCATGTATTATTGGAGCAAAGTGGAAGAGAAAGAAGAGGATGAATAGAGCGCGCACCAGTACATGGTAATTTTATACTTACAGCTCACAGCGAACCTCAAGAATAACAATTCTGCTTTAATAAGTACCGTATGTATTCGAATCAAGGCCGATATTTTTTTCTAATTTCATAGTATAAAACTCCAGGGTCGGCTTAAATTTGAGGATTTTGATTGATTGATTGATATGTGTGGTTTAACGTCCCAAAACCACTATATGATTATGAGAGACGCCGTAGTGGAGGGCTCTGGAAATTTCGACCACCTGGGGTTCTTTAACGTGCACCCAAATCTGAGCACACTGGCCTACAACATTTCCGCCTCCATCGGAAATGCAGCCGCCGCAGCCGGGATTCGAACCCGCGCCCTGCGGGTCAGCAGCCGAGTGCCTTAGCCACTAGACCACCGCGGCGGGGCAAATTTGAGGATTTTGAAAAAAATTTCATTTTTCATTGAGAAAAAGTAGTGCACAACTAGCGCCACCTCGACTGTACTGCAGACGTTAGTAGCCGAGCCAACACCTGGCTTAAAAGCACACATGAGGGCGCCATTTTCATCTTTGCGGAGAGTGTTGCGGCAAGCCGTTCCTTAATTCAAGTTGCGCTGGTCTACGTGTGGCGTAGCTCAATGGCGCCAAACAGGCGGTATCAGTATAGTGCCACTTATAAAAGAAAAGCTGTCCTAGCAGTGGAGTCGTCGTTCAATGTTCAAGCCGTGCGAGACTTGCGAGTGGACGAAAACAATGTGTGTCGCCGGAGAGGCGACAACCCGGGGACTGATTGTGCGCTCTTTTAAGAAGTACAGAATATCCAATGTACTTGATGGCACCGAGGATTGCACACTGTTTGAAGACAGCAACAAAGAAGTCAGCGACGAGGGAAGCAGCGACAAGTACACACAGAACAGGACTAGTGGCTGGCTGCATGTTTCACGAGTTATTTGCATCATAAACCACCTGCTTTGTTTTTATCTTTATATTCAATAAATGTTATCCCCCTGTGAACGATGTTTCGTTCGGCCTACATTTAAGCTGGTTTTTTTTTTATTTTATTTTTTTCCTTCGGCTTTGTGCTTTTGGAGGGTTAGCGTAGAATCATGGTCGGCCTAAACTGGGGTAAAGACAGTACACCTTCAGCTGTCACTTTAGCCGACAGAAATAGGCAGCAAAGGATTAGTAAGTCCCATCTTTCCAAAAGTGGTACACGCCAAAGTACAGTTGCACGTTAATAGTGTTCACATGGCTTGCTTGCGTTTCCTCCCTGGGAGAGAGTGCGCTCGCATTTCCTAGTCAGCCATGCTATGGCCAGACGGTTGCTTACATGTCACTCATTACCTGGAAGCACCGAACGTGCCTCACTGTAGCAAGAAAAGGCACGCAAGGTAGGCGAAATATTATTGTTTAGTGACAGACACATGCCCAAAAGGGTGCAAATGTTACAGAGGTTAGCACTAACAAAAATGTTGATGCTCTTATCGAGGCACCGCAACACTTTCTTTCAAGCAATAATTGAATGGCTTCATTAGAAACGCTATTTCCTCGCGAATCGATAGCCACAAAAATTCTTGGAATCTGCGAAGTACAAGCAGAGTTGCAGGGATTTGTCATACGTTGCAAGACTTTCTCTCTCTCCTTTGGTGCCAGCGAGTGTACTGAAAGCTACACGGGAAAAAGGATGACAAGAGGATGGTTCCCTTCACGCATCACGACCTCGAACATCTTTTCTTTGAACATGCGGCTTCCTTTCAGTGTCATCGCAAGCGTGCGCGCACACACCTGGTGGAATTTTGCACCTATCAGGCGACTGTGGAGGTCACAATGCTGAAATCATCATGCTTGGATGTATACAGTAAAAGCTCGTTGATTCAAACTGCAAGACGAAGCCTCAGTTCGAATTAACGAAAGTTCAAACTAACGAAAAGTGAAGAACAACAATAGTACACTGCGAG